TGGCAGGAGCTGGAAGAGTCCTGCAGGGCAGGTGTTGAAGGGAGAGGCTGACAGGGTGCTGGTTGTCTGTGCTCAAAGGATAGAAGCATCCCAGTTCTGCTTATGCCTCCAAGTTCTTGCTTTAAACTCTGTGGCATGGGCTGCAGTGAGGGTTCTCATGCTGGAAAGATTATCCATGGGCACCTGCTTTTCACAGGTGCTGGATAATAGGATATAAGGTGGTGTATCTCTTGTGCCTGTGTCCTCAAATGCAGCTTTTTCCTGTATTTGATCTTTTAGTCTTCCTCTTTTTTTACCCTAGTAGAAAGAAAATATCACAGTCTGGTGTTGCTGGACCATTTTTCCTTTGTATTCACCCAGAAGCTCAATGGTCATTTTTCCCTCCTATGGGGACAATAGGGGGTAACTTAAAGGTTGTGGGGAAGGGGTTTCCCTCTAACACTGTTCCTCCTTGCAGCGCCGGTTCCTGTTTCCATTCTTCGACTCGGCGTACCAAGGGTTTGCTTCTGGCAGCCTGGACAAGGATGCCTGGGCTGTGCGATACTTTGTCTCCGAGGGCTTTGAGCTCTTCTGTGCACAGTCGTTTTCCAAGAACTTTGGGCTCTACAGTGAGTGTCTGGCAGAAAGCTGGCCCAGTAGCATCATACCCAGACAGATGGGGCTGGCATGCTGGGGGGTGGGGAGAGCTCTGCTTTGTCATGATGTGTGGGAGCAGTGGCTCACATCTCGTCTTGTCCACAGATGAACGTGTGGGGAACCTGACTGTGGTGGGGAAGGACACAGACAATGTGCAGCGCGTGCTTTCCCAGATGGAGAAGATTGTGCGCACCACTTGGTCGAACCCTCCCTCCCAGGGAGCACGCATTGTGGCAACTACACTCTCTTCCCCGCAGCTCTTTGCTGAGTGGTACGTGTTGCCAGGGACAGTGGGAGAGGGAAAGTGGGGGAAGCTGTCTCCCTGAGTGTCAGGCTTGGCCAGATGGCTCCAGACTGGACAGGCACCTGTCCTCACTCTCTACGTCCTGCCTCCTGCAGGAAGGACAATGTGAAGACGATGGCAGATCGCGTCTTGCTGATGCGGTCAGAGCTCCGGTCTCGACTGGAGGCCCTTGGGACCCCGGGCACCTGGAACCACATCACAGAGCAGATCGGCATGTTTAGCTTCACAGGGTTGAACCGTAAGTACCAAGTGGCCTCATGAAGGGAGGGTTGGGTGAGGACAGTTTTGCTGGGGGTGAATTGGGCCAAAGTCCAGGCAGGAATCTCTCAGGGACCGCACTGGAGTCCTGGCATCACTGCCTCTGTGGGTAGGCAGAGATGAAGCATCAGACAGCATTTTAGTGGCCAGTGCTCAAAGTTTTCTGTTTCTCATGAAATTCAAGCAGCCCTGACTGGTTCTTTGGGCTTTCTGAGCTGTGGGGTCACTGCTCTGACCTGATGTCCAATTGTTTCCCCAGCTAAGCAGGTGGAGTACATGATCAAGGAAAAACACATCTACCTGATGGCTAGTGGGCGCATCAACATGTGTGGCCTGACTACTAAGAACCTGGACTACGTGGCCAAGTCCATCCATGAAGCTGTCACAAAAATCCAATGAAGCACATGAACAAACAAACTTACATGAAGTCACCAAAGCTGTAGTGCGTAGTCCATGTCTTGCGCTGCTCATGGCTTGCCTTGACCCACACCTCTTGGGGTTTAATAAAGATGGGAGGGGCAGCTCAATCAGCGATAATCATCTTTTGACCTTTTTGAAGTGCCCCTTGCAATATGGTAAGCCAGTGTCCCCGGGAGGGTGGGGGCAGCATGAGCCACCTTGGCTCTTGTTTGGCTGACAGCAGCCTGGTCTTCAGGCACTTTGAGCTGCATCTTTAGCACATCTAAATCAACTCCGTGTAACTGATCAGTTCAATCTAGGTGAAGTCTCTGGTGCCAGTGCAATATGCTGTGGGGTAACAGCCCAATCAGCTGGGATCTCATACGGCTTGTGAACTAATGTCATTCTGTAGTATTTTGGGGAGGGGTGAAGCTGTTGCTGTCATATGTCCCCCCCTCCCGGAGTTCTGAGCCTTACACGAGCAAACATTCGTAATTGTGATTATTGCTTCTTCATGTTGCTGACAGAAAATTAAACCTCCACCTCTGAACACTAACCCTATCTTGTGTAATGTGCCTTCAGGCCACTCTAACCTCTTCCCAGGCTGTGGTTAAAGTCTCAGCATCGTGGTTTGTCCACTGGTTCTTACTCAGTTGGTTTCAAGGCTCTCCCCTTCTCCCTCATGGTGTGTTGCATCTCTGATGGTCATGGTTGCTACTAATGGGGCACAGTCCTATTGGGAGAGTTGAGAGTTCCCTGTGACTACACAAATCTGACCAGTTCCTCTCATATCCATCTTGTGTTCTTCTGCTTCCCTGTCCTGTGCTGTTCAGCTTGTTCTGTCTGTATGTATGTGCTTGCTTTCTTGATGGTCATGTGTTACCCAACCATCTGGCCACCCCTCCCTGGCACAGAGCTTGTGGCTTGCTTCTGATGTGCTGAAAAGTGGATCTTTCCTGTTCCTCCTTATCAGCAGGCCCCTGATGAACCACCACCTACTCCCCTTGGCTTCAGCAGGCCCTGCCAGAAACAGCCTGTTTCTGGCACTGAAAAAGAGCTGGGACCATCTGTTTCTGCTCTTTGCAGACACTCTTTGGAGATCTATTTGTGAGCTGCTATTACCACCTTGACAGAGCAGCCTCCTGCCAAGATCTTGGTGAAGAAAGGGAAACAGCCCCTTTCCTTGGGTCAGTTAGTAAGTCACTGATGCCCTGATGCATTTTGCTTGTGCTGCAGCTTAGAAACTAAAGGCAAAAATGGTGCCTTGTTCCCTTGCTGTGCTTGCAGAGAGACAGCACATGGGGTCTCTTGTTTGTCATTTTTAGATTAGTGTTTGTATCGCATAAGAGAGCGAGCCAGAGGCAGCCTAACCTCTGTGCAGGGGAGGAGCTTTTTCTCTTCTTGATGTCCATCCATAGCTTGGATGATGGGGTCCTGGTTAAAGGATGACTTCTAGGGGTGATATCAGGAGGAGTTGAGGGAACCAACTGGTTTTGTTATTTCTGACATCTGTTTACACTTCTGTCCTTATGCACCTCCAGGTGTGCAGCCTGGCCCACCCCATGTGTGATCTGTACCAGTGCTTTGCTAGCCTTAAGAGCCTTGTTTTTCCTAACAAGTGACCTAAATTTCTTTCTGTGGTGTAAGCTCATTACCCATTATCCTATTTACCATGGCAACGGGGAACAGATTATTCCTGTCCTCTCTGCAACAGCTTCTTATGTGTTTGAAAACTTCCCTTCTCCACATCCTTCAGTAGTTAAGATTAAGCAACCCTGTTTCCTTCAACCTTTGGAAGAAGGTTGCTTTCCAGCCCTTGCTTTCCTCTGGCCTCCTTTCGATTGCTGTTTTTCCTTAGAAGGGCAATGTCCAGACAGGGATCCAGTTACTCCGGCTGAAGGTTTATCAGCATTGGTGGACTAAGAGATTTCTACTGTTATCTCTCAGGCTGTACTCTGGCATGCGTATCCCCCTATTGTGTTTGCAATGGCATGATTTTAACTCCTGTTCTTCCCTAGTCCTTGTCTGCACTGCACTGCTGTGGTGTAACTCTGCACTACTGAGTGCTTTCCTGGCAGCTGAGGTTCACAGGGAGAAATTGGGAAGCACTTGCTGACTTGGTCTTCTACCTGCTCGCTTCAGAGTCCTGTTACTTCAGCCACCTCTGGCCATGGGTATAAGGGCAGCCTAGCCCAGTTGGAGAGGTTAGCAGATCTTTCCCAAAAAAAACACGCATTGACCCAGACAGGGCATAGCTCAGGGAGAAATCACTTTTAATGGTAATATCCCTGTTGCTTTCAGCCTCTACAAACACTACTGACTGGTCTGTACCAACCCCAAGGCTCGGTGTGAGCCTCCCTCGCACAGGCAGGCGTGCGCAGAGAGGAGGATGGCTCAAGGCAGCGTGGAGCCCCAGAGAGCTGCGCTCCCTGCCCTGTGCCTAGCAGGGGTCGGGAGCACCAGGCTGCATCGATGGTCAGTGTGTGCAAGGTGCTGTGAGTGTGCGTGTCACTAGGCACAGCACAAACGTGCGCTGGGGCCCTGAGCTGCATGTGGCACCCCCCCAAACAGCACATTCTCCTCGTGGTGGAGACCACATCTGTGCAGCACCAGCACCAAGGGGCTCTGGGGCTCGCTGGGATGGAGATGGCAGATGATGTTAAGGGAGGTTCTGGGTTGGGCCGCCCCCCCGCTCTGCCTGCAGGGAGGCCATAACAGACACTTCTCTACCTTTCCTTTTTCCACCTCTTCCTTGAGACCAGATGCTACCAGGGAGCAGCTGGGCAAGGGCCCTCGGACTCCAGCTAGC